AGGTTTATAGGGCCTCTATTCCCCAACAACTGATGAGACTTTACCAACAGAAAGAAAGAGAAAGAAAGAAAGAAAGAAAGAAAGAAAGAAAGAAAGAAAGAAAGAAAGAAAGAAAGAAAGAAAGGAAGGAAGGAAGGAAGGAAGGAAGGAAGGAAGGAAGGAAGGAAGGAAGGAAGGGAGAAAGGAAGAAAGAAAAAGAAAGAAAGAAAAAGGAAGCAAAGCAGGCCTGGCTCTTGCCCTTAAAGAGGTCAAGTATGTGGGGTCTGATCATTACCAAACAAATTATAATCAGTGCCTAAGGGTGTATTCTGTACACCCACACCGGGAAGGCCAGGTAAGATTCCCAGAAGAGGTGGCCCCTGGAAGATGGGTAGGTTTTCCTGAGCCAATAGGTAGAGAGCAAACCCAACTCATAGAGCAATAACTGCTGGGGCCAGAAGGAGGTCAGGAGGTCAGGAGGTCAGAAGCCAGTGGTTCCAGGGCCCTGGCTCTGAGCATGACTACAGTCGAAGTGAAGGGATGGCAATGGCTCCTTCCCTTTCTTCCTTAGTTGCTGCTGCTGAAGCTTTGTCAAGGTCTGCCTATTTCACAGGACACTGAAGGGAATGAGGGAGGTGAGCTCGTTGATTTCCTTATCGTCTGTTGGTAGCATAAAGCCTGACACCAAAAAAGGTACTTCTAGTTCAGCACAGTGGTGAGAACACAGGCTTTGCATTGAGATGGTCCTGGGTTCGAATCCTGACTTCTCAATTCAACTGGCTGTGTGACCTCAGGCAAGTCACCAAACCAATTAAGCTTCAGTTTCCTAACCTACAAAATGAGAATGATGCCTGCCTTCATAATACTGGTGTGAAAATTAAGTTAGTTAACATAAAGTACTTCCAAATAATGTGAGTGCCTTGCTGACCCTTGGCTGAAATGAAAGAAGGACCACGATACTCAGCAGTCCCTGGTGGAGGCTGCCTACCTACAGCCTTTGGTCCAAGTCAAGGAAGATGACAGAGCCCACTCAACAGCCAGTTCTACATGCATGTAGTCCTTCCTCACCCACAACCCGCTCCAATGGCACCCTGTTCACTAGGCTCACAAGGCCAAATCCTCTCCCCAAAGAGAAGGAGGAGGAGGAGGGTGGGAGGGGGAGGAGGAGGGTGGGAGGGGGAGGAGGAGGAGGAAAAGGAGGAAGAGGAGGAGGAGTCCCTCCCCTAACCGAGAGGCCATGGTGACAGCCCCAGACCCCCTTTCCTCCTGGAGCTTCAGTGCCTCCATCCCTGAGCCCTATCTCTCCGTCAGTCCCTGGATCAAGCCATTACTCCATCCTGCACTGTGCCTGTGAGCTCCATGGGGCTGGGCACTGTGCCTGTCGTCTTTACTAATATATTTCTAGCATTGATCACAGTTCCCGACACACAGCAGGTGCAAGGTAAATGCTCACTGACCTGGGCCCAACTCCATTCCCACAGCCACTGCTGGCACTGAATTACTCATCACCTCCACAGACCTCACCGAACCTCCCCTTCTGTAGTATCTCCTCACGATTCTTCCATGCACACACTCTCTGGCTGCTCTGACTGAAGCCCAACTCTGACCAGGTCACTCTTCTGCCCAAACATTCTCATACTCCCCCTCAAACATCTCAGCCACCCACATCCACTCTAATGGTCCTCTCTCCTATAGCTGGATTTCCCTGCCTCTCCCATCAGTCCACCTCCATTATGCCTGATCCCTTGCTCTCTTGGCACCTCTACCACCCAATGCTCGGCAGGAGTCCCCCCCAGGTAGACCCCACAGGCTCTCCTTGCCACACATACCTTAGAAGGAGGCTCCGAATCATTGTTGCGACTAGTGTCATCGGTGATTTGCACACTGAGCCACTGCTACCCCCATGGCATTGTGGGAGAACTAGGAGGATCCTGGAGATGGCTAAACTGTGGGATCTATAGAACCCTTGCCTAGCATAACCACTGCTGCCTCTCCCCCAACCCCCAATATACATACCACTCCCCACTCCAGGCTGGCAGCTCCTCACACAGTTAATTAGCACCATGTCACTGAGGACCAGCCTGAGTGGCCAGTGACAGGAGCTGACCCCTGACCCCAGGGCTGGGAAATAGTCCACATCAAACTCTTACAGCGCGACCCTTTTAGCACGCACAGTAACTCAGGGCACCGGCAGCTGAAGCTCATTAAAGCTGTCTCTTTGGCGCGAGGGCCATTAACCTCACTGCTCAAAACCCACACCTCCCATCCCCGCCTCTCCCAGCCCAATTAATGCCCTGCATCCTCCCTCCCTTCCAAGCACCCTCACCCACACCTCAGAGCCAGCCAGGAGCTGGTAGGGCAGCCCTCTTCATTGAAAAATGCAAAGACCAAAAGCCAGGAACCCCCAGTGTCCTTGAGTAACCACTGAGTGCCAGGCCCTGCACAAGCCCTTCACACAGCTGACACCACTGAACCTTCCCAACAGCTCCGAGAGACAGGAGCACGGTCCCTTGTCTAAGGTTATAGGGCTCTGGGTGGTAGAACCAGAACTTCTGGCTCCAAAGTCCTTACTCTGTTGTCACTCTCAGCCTTGGGCTGTCCCTTGGGCTCACCCAAATGGAAAAACCTTCTTTTATAGGGAAGGAAAAAACACATCAGAGATCCAAACCCAGAATCAACATGGGTAAAGAGACAAGAGGGGCACCATTGAGTCCCAGGAGGCAGGAAAGAGCGGAGACAAGGAAGCCCTTTCTCTCAAAAACACCCTGGACAGATACACAAAAGCAGGGCACCCAGCTCAAAGATGCACAGGGTGAGTTAACCCAGTCCCTCTGGTTCCTCCCACTGCCCAGACTCAATTACAGGCAATTCCTCCTCCCCTGGGCCAATGCAAGTCCTCTCACTGGTCTTCATTCGCTGGTCCCTCCCTTTCCCATCACTTTCATTGACTCATCTACTCACTTGTTCATTCATCTACCTATCTGATTGAATTTATTGAGCACCTGTTAAGAACTAGTTTGTGCAGCACAAGTGCCTCAGTGATTCTGAATCAAAGCTCTGATCGTGTCATTCTCTCATTCACAAACTCCCTGTCTTATCAAAACCTCATGAGAAGGAAGATGAGGGTAAAAGGTGCATAAATGGTGCTGGAAGGAGACTTGACCTGGGGTGGTGAATGCACAATATAATATACAGATGATGTATGACAGAACCGTATACCTGAAACATATAATTTTATTAACCAATGTCACCCCAAAAAGTTTAAAAAAGAAGAAAAAAACCTCCCAAGAAATTCACCGCCTCTCTTAACCTGACATTCCAAGCCCACTTACTTCCCCGTTGATTTCCTAGCCATTCTCTAACCGCAAGATCCCACTCCAGTCACTGGAAGCTATTTGGTGATGTCTGGACATGTCCTGTCAATATGCTAGGCTTCTTCATGCCCTCAGGCTTTATACACACGCTTCCCCCTAAAAAGGAAACCCTCCCACATTTTCCAGCCTAGCAAACTCCTATTCATCTTTCAAGGATCCCCTGTCTTGTGTCCTCTTCTCTAGGAAACTTCCTGCCAACCTTCCCGGCATACCACCTTGCTGGGTTTGGGGTCCCCTCTAGATTGCATAGGACAGCAGCTGCTGTGGGGCACTCCAAATTCCTCAGGCCCATTGACTGCTTCTTCTTTCCCCACAACAAGAATGATACAGGGCATCCAAGAAGTCCATGAGATGTAAATGAAGGAGTAGAAGCCATCTTGGCAACTGAAGGCAGGGAAACCTCCCCTGGGGTAGCCCAGTTGTTGCTGTCCCTGACCTTAGTGCTCTGGGTGTCAAATACCCAGTTCAGTCTCTGTCTCCTTCCAGGATGTGAGCTCCCTGAGGACAAGAACTTCTACTCAGAATGCCAAGCACCTACCAGGTGTCTGTGGAAAGGATGAGGGGCTCCTCTGTAGCTGGCTAAAAGATCCTTTCAGTGTATCTTGCCAGTCCCCTCCCCTCAACCTCTGATACCTTCACAAAGGTACATAGGTTATGGTAATGTCATAGTGCCACCCCAGAATACCCGTGTTTCTCCCCACTTGGAATAAAACCTATGCGTGCTTGAAAGCTTGAAAGCATTTGCATGCACGTGTTTGCACATGCACACAAAATAAGATATAGAGAAATGACATACTTTCTGATGAATACACACACAAGCTGACAGCTGCTTCCATATATAGACATGTGCCCTCAGAAAAATATACACAGATATTGTTACACACACATGCATCCCTTAGATATAAACATAAGACGCACACATATATACCCTTAGACTGCAGCTGAAGTTGTCAGATACACACACACACACGCACACACACGAACTCAAAGACAGACAGACACGTATCCATCCTGATGAATCAGAGGCTAGCAGAGCCTCCAATGCCTAGAACCACAGCCGCTCTAGCCCCCTCCCAAGCAGTAATCCCCCTGAGGGCACACCCCCCACCTGGTACCCCAAGTGGCCCCTCCCAACCCAGGCACCGCTCAATGGAGGCTGCTGCTCCTGCGGGGGAGTCAATACCCTGTGGACGGAGCCATCGGTCAGAAGGACCCCGACTAATTAAAAGCTGGTGAGGTTTAAATAATTCATCTCCTTAACTCCCATTGATCGCCCAGTTTAGTGGCCACAGACTTGAAACAATATTAAACAGTCTCCTCCAGCTCCATGGGGGGTAGGTAAGCTGACATATGCCCACCCCTCTGAGGACATCACCCACCAGAGATACAGCTGGGGGCAAGGGTACCTTGGCTTGAATCCAAGGCCCAGAACCCAGGCTCCTCCTAAATATTGTTTTGAGAGTCCCTTTCCCGTGGTCTGGTTCCACTCTCCCCTCACTCCACCCCCTTTCTCTGCTTTCCCCAGCTACGGAGAGCACCCTGTTAGAGCGCTGAAAGAACCACAGGACCCTTCTGTGTACCAAGGGACTGGGGCATGCGGGCAGGGGACTGACCGAGCTGCCAGGGGGGACATGTGGAGGGACTGACCAATGCCGCTGTGGGGCCGGCCTATGTGTTGCAGGCTGAGACCCTTGTTCATGTCTAGAAGTCCATTCTTGGGCCAGCAGCCCATGGCGAAGCTGTAAGCCTGGAAGACAGGAGGCAAGAATGGTTAACAGAGGCCCTGACCCCTAAACCAACCCTATCACTCACCCTCCCCCCACCAAGTCTTTCCCCCCAAGCGCTTACTCTCATCATGCCACTTCATGACAATCCCCTCACTGGGTCCCCTTTCCACCAGAAAACCCCTTTCTCCTGCAGAGCTCCCCTTCTCCTGGGTATCTCCCTGTCAGAGGCCCCCAGCCCTCACTGGGTGCCCCCTCACCAGCTCCTCTAGAGAGCTCCCATTTACTAAGACCCTCCTCGTCAGGACCCCTCTTCTCACCAGGGCACGGCCTTTCCCCTTAGAGTCCCTCTTTTCCAGAGTCCCCAGCACTCTGCTGGGTCCCCTCCCCACAGTATTACTGGTCACAGAGACTGGTGTCAGAAAGGGCTGGCAGACCAATGTATTCAAACTTCACAGATAGGGAAACCAAAGTGAGAGCGGGCCGACCACCTGCCCATGGTCATTACTTCTGAACCAGACAGGTGAGGCTGTAGAAGCCTGAGTGCCATGTGGTGGCTCAGCTGAGGAGGGGTAAGGTCACCTGGTTGACTCAAGCAGCTGTGAGGGGAGCACATGAAGGGTGTGTGTATATGTGCACACGTGCGCAAGTGTGTGTGTGTGTGTGTGTGTGTGTGTGTGTGTTAGGGAAAGCAGATCTCTGCTGAAGGTCAAGTGCTCACTTATGCATATTCAAAGCGGCCACCCATCGATCTGTACTTAATTGTTTTCCTGGGGTTGGGGAAGGAAGTGCTGGGGGCATCGATCTGTTCAGACCCCCGGCACTTCACTGCCCCCCTGCATCCCCTACTCGTGTCACCTGGCTACAGCCAACCTCCCTGGGAGGTTGGAGGGGGTGTAGGGCACATGGCAGGACAGGGACGGCACCTTCTCTTACAGTCCCTTACAGGCATGATGACTTGGTGTCACAGGTGAGGAAACTGAGATCCAGAAAGAAGAAACACACAAGGGTTAGAACACTATGAAGTGGCCCAATGGGAATTTAATTCCTGTTCAGCCTGCTAGCAAAGTCCTGGGCTTCTTTCTACCAGTGGGCTTACACAGCTAGCTGACACTTCAAACATCATCCATCCCTTTACCTTAGAAGTCCCCAAATATCAGGCTGCCCTCCCAGTGGCAGGAAGCAGGTGGGACAGTGGTCCATGGGAATGAAGGTTGAGTGAGTCCCCAGAAGTTGGATGGTGGGTCAGCCGATGATACTAAAGTGACTGCAGCCATGGCCACACAAGCGCTAACGTGCCCCTTGCCCATCACCAGGCCCAGGAGGTTCCCCATCTCACTACAGACTCCTTCAAAAGGGAGGGCACTCATCCCAAGATCAGAAACAAAAGATAGGATCTATGTCAGGGCCAAGGAGCTGGGCAGAGCGCTGGCACTCTTCATTCCCAGCCGCAGGAACCAAGCCTTGGCCCCACAGCCACTGAAATGCTAGGAGCCAGTGTACTTCACCCTCAGCATCCTCCAAAGCCATTTTCCTTGACCACAGAGGTACTAGCCACAGCTCAACTTCCCAGCCAACACCCGCACCCTTTCCCAGGTCACAGCTGCAACCACAAATTGGGGGCTGAGTGTGAGGCTCAAGGACAGTGGAGAGGTCGCTGGACAAGGCCGAGCTGGGGGAACACAGACAGGGAGAGAAAGCAGCCCGTGGGTGGTGCACAGCTGGAGAAGCTGCTAAGCACGGTCAGGGCCATGGCTGGAGTGCAGTGGGCCAGAGAGCAGCGGCGGGCCGGCTTTCAAGTACTTTAAAATCACTTACAAAGGCCGGATTAAACGATCAGAAATTCCATTTAATAGGACAAATAAAGAAATAACAATCTACTCTATCAGCCTGGAGAAGGCGAGCGGGATGGTTTTTTTTTTCCCCTCTAAAAAGGAAAAAGGGAAGGAAGGGGAAAAAAGAAGGATAATGTGTGTTTACTCAAGCAAAGAAAAAAATATTTAAGTGATGTCGGGGAGAAGATTGCAGTAACTAGTGAAGAATAACATCGTCTACTTTGCTGTCAAATCACACCCGAATTTCAGTAATAGATTCTCGGCTGACACTCAATTCAATTCGAAGGTGATCCTGCTTTATCCCAGCCCATCAAATATTAAACACTTGCATTAGCAGGTGCTGCCGCTTCCCGGCTTAAAGCAGCGGGCGGGCAGGGCTGCTGAGGCCCCCTGCTCTGCTCTCCGCTCGGGGACAGGGCAGCTCAACGTTATCTGCACGTCATCCAGAGCCTTATCACAGCTAAGCGGGAAGACCACTTCAGATAACATTAGACGCTTGCCCCAACGCGTGTCAGCATGATTAGATTATTATTATAATAATGACTCCCGAAGAACTTCCCTAGAGTGGGACATATGAAAGGGGGGTGGAGGACAGCAGGGCCCAGGAGGACCAGGCTGGACCAAGGAAAGCCAGAACCCATGGCAAAAATGTAGGGGAACCAAGCAAGACAGCAGCCCTGGTCCCGCCTGACGAATGCCTTTCAGGAAGGGCAGTCTAGCTTGTCAGAGCTGGGGCGAGATGAATTGGCGTCTCCACCGTGGCCACGGGTGTCATGCCGCACAGTTTCATATTCCCAGATAAGGCGTGATAACCAATTGCTGCTGTGACATGGCCTCATCCAGCACTTCCTTAGGGGGGCATGGGCGGGAGGAGGGGGGCAACACGTGCACATGGGTCTGCCGAGCTCCTAATAAGAGGGATTTAATTTTTACAAATGCTGCTTCCAGTGGGACCTTCACATACCAGCCTAAGTCCAAAATGATATTAAAAATGGTTAATTAAAACTGCTCTTCTTCAGCCTGGGCTCCCTCCCTACTACCCCTGCTGAGAACCCTGGAATGCCTCCTCCAGGTACTGCCACACACCCCTGCAGAGCTGAACCTTCACACGTGAGCACCAGTCTCATGGGACCTTCTGGGCACAATACAATAGACCAACACCTCAAGCTCCCCCAGCCATCTCAAGTACCCCTCAGGCACAGCCAGTGGACACAGAGAGCCACTCAGAGAATATGGCGTCCTACAGCAACCTGTGCTCCTACTGAAGCGTGGTCTGGACCCTTTCACCTGCTGCTCTCTGAACCTGTACCCACACGCCCACCACCCCCAGCACTCATTTCTAGAGCTCCTGCCCCCGCTCCCCGCCGCCAGATAAACACACAATCAAGCATGCATAGCCACACAAGTGTGCCCCTCCTTTCATTCTCCACTCCCTCCCAACATCCTCCCTAAGAGATTACATCCATCCAGGATTCTTAGCAGAGCCTTCCTGGGAGTACAGCTCAAGAAAAGATGATGTGGGCTATGTCTCAGGTTCTGGCTAAGTCAAGCCTGGGACCCAGGGAACCACCAGAGCATGAGGGTTCAGGGAGGCTATCCTCTGTGGGTTGCCACAGGGACAGTGGAGACAGATAGGCCCATATGGGATTGGAAGTGGCTAGGAAAGCTTTCTGGAGGGCACCAGGTAGAAAACATACCCAAAACAAAGGAGAATGGCAGGAGCAAGCTTGGTGAGGGCACAGGCAAGGGCCTGGGCATTGCTGCGGCAGCCAACGTGGACAGAAGGGGTCATATCTTGAGGTCCTGCCTCCCAGCTCTGTGCAAACTGGCATCAACTGAGGAGCCTTTTCCCCCTACTTGCTTCCTATCCCCACTCTCTCTCTCCCCCTCCTGCCAGCCTGTGGGGTGTTAGGGTAAGGGACTCAGAAGCTTTTTGACCTCGATCAGTGCTAGGCAGGAATGTTTTAAGACTTCTTGCCAAGATCTGTGCCTGAGCCCTTTTCCATGCTGGTTCCAAATTCTCTGAGTGCCACTGTTCCAGCTGCACTTCTCCCAATCATCAGGTCCCACCCGACGGGTTCCTGACCAGGGGATGGGGCAGGTGGAAGGATGTCTGACGAGCTCAAGCCCTATCCAGGGCGAGTGTAATCAGTGTGAGATGCTGGTCTACCAAACTGCACCATCCCAGCCCTATGCCAGGCAGGCACGCACACTTCCTTCCCCTGAGCTGCTGTAATTTCCATGCGCAGGGAAGCAGGTGCCGAGCTGCTCCCGGCTGGCTCTCCCCTCTCGTGGCTCTGCCCGCCTTGGCTGCTGCCCCATTAGCTTAGTGGCCAGCCATCTGCGACGGGCCTGCCACGCAGCCCTGCTGTAGGCGCGGCGGGTGGCCCCCTGTGTAACAGGGAGCTTTGCCATTAGCGCCTTTAATATTCTGACACCTCAGCACAGCCTGCTATTACATGCAAACGCTGATCGCCCTGTGAAATTACATTGCTGGGCCCGCGAAATGGAATCGTGTATAATCAGCCTCCTCCATGCACTGTCAGTCCCATCACAAACACGGCGCCCGGCGGCTTACGGGGGCTTAGCAGCTGCGACAAGTGTATTGGGTTTAATAGATGAAGTAGCCCTCATCGGTAGCAGCATCAGATTCTTCAAAGAGGAAAGAAGAGGCTTCGACAGCTGCTGGGGTGCCTCTGCCCATCCATTCACTACCTACCAGGGCCCTGAGCGTGGGGTGGACACAGTGGGCAGGGCAGTGGCTGGAGCTAGAGCCCACCCCCAACTGCAGAGAGAAGCACCGACCACCCCTGCAACTTCCAGAAAACCCAGAGTGTCCAGGCCGACACCAGCATATCCGCCCCATCCAGCCTCTCCACAGGTTGGGGAGGAACAGACCTTTAACCAGACCTCTGGTGACTGTCACCCTCTGCATCACTTCCCAAGCTGAGGAACCAAATCAAACCACTGCTATTCCCATAAACATCCAACAGACAAAGGTGTGAACATGACACTCTGTAGGATGGGGGAAAGAGTCTGACAGATGTAACTACTACCTAACCTTTTTATCTAACCGGCCTACACTTCTGAAGCTGGTGAACCAAGTGTTGAGGCCAGAGGTAAACATGAAGACGGCATGCCCAGGAGCCCAGTCTTACAGAAGGGCAGTGTCTGCGGGCTTGGCAGTC